TAGATAAATCAAATCACAGAAAAAGACTAAGAAATTAGTAATGATATTCATGTGATTGTCTCACTTTACAGTGCAGGATTTTGTGCTATTATCAGAATGTTGCTGCTACATAATAGAAAACAGTTATTGCTGTCTATAATATTTAATATTCAGGAAAATAGATTGTTCTGAGATGAGCTAATCTTGAAAAAGCCATCCATGACCATATTCTCATTGAATTAAATGGAAGTTTAATCATTCTCTGAAGCTTGAAGGGCTGACCCCCACCAACACGGATAGCATATTTTATACTCTGAGATTTTAATGTTCTACTGAAATGTCATTATCTTAAACACCAGAACATCTTAGTGAGAAAAACAAACAACACAAAATTGTCCCTGTAAAAGAAGGGAGTTACCATTATTACCCTGCTTATCCCATTTGTTTTTATTTTTAGTGAAACTATATTTCACTGTACTGCTTCAGCACATTCTCCTATTAAATCAACAAGGCTTATGCTAAAAAATTCATTAAACAGACAAAACATTAGTGGTTCCGACAATGCATTTTGCAAAAGTCTTATGGAAAAGACAATTCAGAGAAAAGTAAAGAAAAAATAAAACCTTTAAACAAGCTCCCCAAAGCCTGATATTTATACCCCTCAACATAAAGCTTAATGTTGAATATATGCTAAACTCTTTAATAATTAGGCCAGGTTTATAGTTAGCCATTTTCTTAATTGACTAATTGCTTTAGTGATCTCTTGGTCATTTTGAACAATATTAGATGGCAGACAGAAATATCCAGGCAAGCAGCCTTAAAAAAAGTGGCTCTGTTTTACATTGGGCCATTCTCAGAATATTGTGTAGCAATTTTTTCTTCCGAAAGTCTTGGAAAATGTAGCTTGGTATGTTAAAAGAACTGTGCTTTGGAGGCTATATATGAGACTCCCTCCCTTCCTTCCTTATTTTTGGCCCTACACAGCTTTAGTTTCATAGATTTAAGGAAGCACAAAACAAAGATAACCTAGTACCATACATGTTGAATACATTTCCATAAATATTACGTGTCTGGTCTAGCATTTCAGTAGAGCATTTCACATGTACGGTCTTCCAAAGTATTAGATCCCAATTCTTCCAAAGTATTAGATCCCAATATCACAGGTTTCACAAGAATTAACAGATGCGGAAATATTAGACCCTACATGACAATCCTGGGGACTCTAGCTCCATTAAATAGTTTTCCAATGGACTATAATATCTCCTTCCCTTTCCTCCTTGTTTTCGTTTTTAAGGAGGTGGGATGAGAATTGGTAAGTCTCTAGAAGGCAACTCACCTCCATAACTGTCCTCAATTCTACATACATTCCCACACACAAGCTGACATCACATGCCGTTCTAATTCAGTGGCAAAACAGCCAAATTATCACAGCATGATTTCGCATTATTTGGTGTAGGAAATGAACAGTATGGAAATAGGAGAGATTTACCTTCTGGTTCAATACCCTTCCTTATTTATGAAGTAAAATCCTTAAAATAATCATGGCATTAAATGTCATTTTGCCCCCAAATTTCATCTGTGTGATCTCATTCTATTCAATTCAGTCACTAAGCACAGGTGCTTAATTTGTTAACCCTGTTTGTTGCAAGGTGGTTGCAAAGCATGTGAATGGCAATGACATGACCATAGGATACTGCAACAGTCATTAAATATATGCCAGTTATAAAGCAAACAAATGACTGTCACATGACTGCTGGATGCTGTGACTGTTGTAAGGTGAAGATTGATTGCAGAGAGTTCTTTTAGTACCATAACTTTGAATAGTTTGAATAGGCAGTTATTAAGCAAGGATTACCATATTTCAAACTATGCCTCTTAGCCTTGTATTTATAAAAATATCCCAAGAAACTAAAGAAGTTTTTGTATGACATATGATTGTCTAGAGAAAAGGGGCAATCATAAGTTGGCTACTAGCACACTGGGAAAATATATCAGTTTATCTTCTAATAATTGTTTTATATTTTATGACTGCTATATTTTCTCTGATTTTTTTAATCATAGTAATTAATCTATGACAGCATCAGCAATGTGATTTTAGTGTTCAAAAATATTCCCATTACAATGTTGCAAACTTCAAATATAGTACACTGTACTAGGAAAGGCAACAGATTTTTCCACTGTAAACAATCATTTCTTAACTGAAACATTTCTCTTAACTTCTTATTTACTTCCTCTTTTACTGTTTTGGGTGTTGAGGGAGATACAAAGTTCTGGCTCTTTCTCTTTTGGTGGCCTCAATCACTGTTAACTGATGCTGTAGTGTGTCTTTAATGCTGTCTCTCCATCTTCTTCAGGGTCTGTCTCTTCTCTTCTTAACACACTTCAGAATTTGGAGCTATTCTTAAAGTATTTTCGTTGATTTTCCCAATGTCTCCAACAATACATATAATTTTCAAGTGACAATCATTCATTTAGCAACCATTCAAAGTTATGAAAGGGCTGAACAAATGACTCCTATACAGTCCTTATCATTCCAACTGCCACACTATCCCTGCAGTCATGTCACTGTGAGCCAGGTGATGAATGCCTGGTTTGCAATTATAACATTGCAGCAAGTTGCAGTCACGAAAGTTAACTTTCAGGAAGTCGTAAGTTTGTGATCACATAAGATCCTCGCTTAATAACCTGCATCGTCCTTGCTTAACAATGGCCTTTATAACCACACTGCTTATCAATGAAAATTCTGATCCCAAATGCCGTCATAAACCAAGGACTACCTGTATCTTCTCCTCTCTCTCTTTTTCACTTGTCCATAGTACATTACTTTTTATCACTGAAATGAATGTATAAATGACCTTGGGTAAAGAGAGGAAGAGATACCGCTGAGGAAACAATCAGACAAGAGAGACAGGAATCCCTAATTGCTTAAGAGTCAGAGAAAGAAACTTAGGAAGGGCCCACCCTAATGGATCAAACAGTTAAAAGTGGAGGCAGGAAGTTTGTGCCTTCAGACTTGCAAGGTTTTTTTTAATGTAGTTTTACAATATAGTAGAGTTTGTTCATCTTGTGTTTCTATATGGTTTACCGGGAAGCTTATGTAGGTCATAGAACACTGCACTATACTAGATATGATATGGTTAGCCTATATTTGTATTATGATTGGCATATTTTATCTTTTAAGGAAAAATCTGAAAGTCATTTATTTTCTATTCAATTAAGTGAGAAGGACTGAAGTTTGGAGTACATTCAATTTAATAGGTGCTCTAACTCTTCAATTCTAAAAAAAACCAAGAATGAAAATAAAAGGGATGGAAAAGTCTTAATATTTCACTGTGATTTCTTTATCTTTCAGTTCATCTGATTTTACATAAGCTCATCCTCTGAGCTACTACATTTTATTAGTGTGATGAATGCATTATTGATTCCTGTTTGCTGCTCTCCACATTACAACAGTAAACAGCTTATTTAACAATTAGTCAAGAAATGCAGTGTATTTAGGAAAAGATCATTTATTTTTTGCTTATCAGTTGAGCCAGCAAGAACTAGTTTTCAGGCTCCTGAGAGTGAAATATTGTTGATTAAGAGCTTCAGGAATGTCTAGGCTTGATTTAATGAAGTTTGATTGCTCTACACACAGTACATGTGTTTACTTCTAGATTGTGTTAAAGAGCAATCACTAGGATTTTTTTTCCTTCACTGGCATTCCAAATAAACAAAAGAGAAAAAAATAGAAAGAACTAAACTCCATTGGTTCATTTTGTTGTTTTTTCAGTGCCCTGCAAAATGCTATATAACAAAACATTATTCTGAGATTTTCAAAAGCAGAAAAACCCACCGGGTTAAAATTTTTGAAGGGCTTGTTATAGAAGGGATTGGATTTTGACTGCTGCAGAATTATGTGGAACTATTTCTTTCCATGATTTGAAAACAACTTTTGTTAATACAGCTTAAAATTGCCTTTGTCGTCGTCTTCTTCTTTTTGCAGCCAGCAAACCCTGCTGACTCTTACTTTTGTTTGTAATCAACTACTATTTTAAAGATCTTTTTCAGCATGCAAAGAAAAAAGTAAATCAAATGCAAGCTATATTTGCGCTTTCTTCTGGTTTTATTACTGTTCTTGCTTAGAGCGCCCCAACTAAAGAGCATGGAGGGCAAGCAAGACTAACCAAATTTTGAAATGCAGTAATGAACTCACTTGGACCTTATGGGCCTTGGTAAAAGTCTGATAATCTGTTACCCCCACCCTATGGGACATTCTCCCCCTGGAAGTGAGGCAGCTCCCCTCTCCCCCCGAAAAGAAGTTAAAACATGTGCCTCACATGGGGAGCCCAAAGAAGCACACAGTCGTGGGACTGGTTGGTGGCCCGAGAGCCCTGCCTTTGCTTTTTTAATTAATTTTAACAGGTCTTAATTATTTTTGTCTCCTTCTAAAAAATAATTTCAAAACTGTAATCCTAACATTTTAATTTTTACATACTGTTTTTATATTCTGACATTTTATTGTACATTGCCCAGAGTTCCTCTTTGAAGGAGATGGGCAGTTCACAAATATGAAAAATAATTCAATAATTAAATCTTATTCCTGTAGGCTGGTACCTGCCTTGGTAAAATCTGAATTGGGAGCAAAGAACATGGCTTAATCCACAAGTTGGTTATCAGCATGCTTTTCATAGCTCCAATGTGGGTAGACCAAATAATTGGGCCTTTCTTGGATGGGAGAGGGGGACCAAGAAAATTTGAAAGGGCCAAATGTTGGGCCTTGAATGTTGTAGATTTTCTGACCTTAAACATCCTGAACCCTCTGACTACTGGAGCATAGCCCCAGTTTACAAAACCTAGGCAAGCCCTTGAACCTCTAAAACTTCCATACCTCTAAGACTAGGGCACTTGTTTTTAATGGCTATGACTATGAACAAGCTATTTTTTAAATCACACACACATATACACACAGAGCTGAACCCACAAAACATTTCTTCAATTGAACATTATATGATACATCAATGAATAAAAAGAAATCTTACCCATACAAGTAAGAGAAGGTTTCTTTTCACTGTTCCACAATATCCCAGCATTCCAATAATGATAAGGAAACAGCAGACTGCAATCATGACTGGATGGACAACTGGAAAATAAGTAGACACAACTGCCTCCTCCACTCTGAAAACAAATGAAACAGATCAAGTTGATAGAGTGGAGCCCAGCTTTCCTAAAAAAGCAATTTATAAAATAGTATTCTTCTGGGGAAAGAATGCAGAAATTATTTTGTTATTAGAAAGATTCTGTTATCAGGTGGCAATGCCCTTTGAATCTAAATGGAAATTGTCTGTCTGTCTGTCTGTCTATCTATATCGAAAGCTGCTTGCATTCATTATTCAGCAATTAGCTTTGGAATAACAACTCACACTGCTACATCAATTTAAAATCTGCACTGTGTACATCAAACTGCTTTGAGATAAGCAAATTGAATAAGGTATGAGCTACAATGAAATCTCCCAAGAAACAGAATATTAAATAACCTGAGAATTTGTTCTGGGAACAATCCCAGTTCTCACTACTCTTCTTTTAATTATCAGAAATACATGTGTACAATAGATTTTACTTTTTGCTTCTGGAAATGCAGTTCAGATCCACAGATGTGAGGGAAAATTGAGCTAATACTTTTCTTGAATTTCTTCTTAGCAATTAGTCACAATAGAATTTCCCTGCTTAGAGGTAGTATATTTCTCTAATTAGCACACTAAATAAATCTCTCAGGAAGGACTTTTACCAATACCTCATGCTTTTCCAAGGTATTTGTCTAGCAACCTTTAGAAAGTTGGACTAGATGAGATTTGGAGTCAAATTGCACATTATTTTAATGATATAGGATGCAACACTGTTTGCTCCTGTGTGTAGCAAATACAGCCTTCTCCTCAGTTTTATAGAACAAATTACAGCAGAGTAAATGAATGTCCTACATAAATGTCAAAAATAAGACTTTGACAATTTGAAATGATGCAGGAGGAGATTCAGAAGATCACAGATCAAAAGGCTATGATGGGTAAGTGTCAAATACATCACAGACAATATGAAGCAGGATTTCATTGCAGGTATGTGGTTTTTTAAAAGGACATGTTCTACCTACTAAGAAACTCTTATTTACTTGGAACGTCTGCTGTTGTAACTGCATTGTAAGTGAAACTTCTATCCTAGAGTTACCTTTTCTAAATCCTTGTCTTGTGCCTTCTTGTTTTAATCTCTTTAACTTACCTTCATTAAAGAATTAAAATATGGTTTAAGTAGGAATATTAAGAAGCCTTTATCTGAAAGTACCCTGAGATTTATGATATAAGGAACAAGTGGTCAACCCTTTGGCTCAATAAGTGTATTTGGAATTTTAAGAATGAGTTATGGATGCCTCCTAAAACATGCTACCATCCTGGGCACAGTGGGGCTTTCCAAAACCAGATCTGACTTTTCAGTTACTAAATGGGAGAAGAGAGTTGAAGTGTTCTGTATCACTCTGATTCCATCTACTGTCTTTCCAGATTTCTGCAGTCCATGGCAGTTGCAATAAGCATGGCCAATCATAAAATTTACCTCACCGTTCCATCTACCATCCCAGGATGCTCTCTACCATCTCACCTCATTTTTGTCTGTGTGGAGGAGATGAGCACAGTGCTGAGCAGAAACTTGGGCTGCATCTCACTATTACTTTTCAGTGCCTAGAAATGTGTTAGGCTTCAAAGGCAAATGAGACAAGAACTGCAACTATGAGTTCAAGCTCTATTATAAGATCACATTAATAGAATCTTGCAAAACTATTATTCCCTTGCCTTCCTTTTACACTCCAGAACACTGGGGGGGGGGGGGGGCGTGTTCCTTCCCAACCCTCCACCTTCTGTGAATTGAGATATCTTTTATAAATTTTCCAGTGTGTAGCTCTTCTTCTGTCTCCCAAAGTCCTTCTCACAGACCATTACAAATGCCTTTGAGATGTCAGCAGGGCCCAGAAGCTTTCCTGTAAAAGGTTATGCTTGGAGTTGACATTTTGCTTTCTTGCATGCAAGCTTCCCATTTGTTTATTTTAAAAATTAAAAGAAGATTGAAAATAGTATCAGGAATGGTGTGAACCTTGGCAGGAATCAAGGATTTTGGAAAGGGGATACTGGGAGTATGGAATGCTCTTTGGAGAAATAGCTCCATATCTTTGCTGGATCCTTCTGCACAGATAGTCTAGTTAAACTGATCAGACATGCCTACCTTGTTTCTGCAGTTAAAGTAAGAACATTATTCAAGTAGTCTCTCATCCAGGCAGAGACACATAACACAGTGATGGACATCAACTGAAATAAAATAGGGATTTTGTTTAGCAAATATAAGATAGAGCAAGCTTAGTTATTTAAACAATGTTATAAGCAGCATACTATTACATTAAAAATTTTCTACTTAATGGCAAAGCAGATGTATCATTAAGTACAGTCCTTTCTCAGTACTCTGCTCTTCTTTAATTTATTAATACTCAGAGAAAAATTCTCACTGGAACAATTTCAGTCTTAGCTGGTTTTCTTAGAAGTGCACATCTCAGGGACAAGAATAAGCTTTGAGCTTTTTTTTTCCTGCTTGTGGTAAGATTAATTCATCAGCAGAGATTTCATAACAGAAATCCACAAGGTACTGGGATAGAAAGCCAGCTGTCTGCGAAAGAAGCTGTCAGTCCCCCTATGTGTATGCAATTATGAGAGCATAATTGTAAGATTACTTCCCCAAAAGAAGGAAAGTCATTCTTAAATAAGGATGTATGGAGGAAAAAAATATTTCTGTTTGAAGCAAAATGAAGACCCAACTCATGATAACTAGATTATGGGTGCTACTTTAAAAAAAATCAACATTTGTTGTAAGGCTGAAAGTTGGCAAAATCTAAAACCCATAGCTTCATTATCAGACATGGGTAATGAGCTGCCTACTGAAAATCAGGAATAGACATTAACCGTATGGTTTATTTAGTTCCCTAGGCACAACAGAGATAACACCCATATCTAGAGGAAAGCAAGAGGCAGATATTCCTAGATTAATCACATCTTCCCTTCACTCTTCCCTGGTGTTTTGCCTTAAGAAAAAATAAACATAAATATAAAGAGTTGTGTTGAGTCTTTCACAAGTAGTTAAACTGTATCATATTCTATCCTGAACTAGCAAAAGGGTTTCAGTTGCAGCATCTGATCATTTTGACAATGTAATCCGGGATAACATTTCAAGCATCTTTAACAATGCCGCTAGGTTTACTCTTCATTCCATTCAATGGTAATGCAAATATGAGAAGAGCCAAGCTAATGGGTGAGCAAATATTATATTTAGTAGCATATATCATAAATTCATAGGACAGAATCCTGTAAAATTTGAAATAGAATGCAAGATGTAATATGTTCCCTTGGCACACCGTTGGCTTTCAGCTATGATAGATATCAGAGGGAACTATTTAGTCAACAAAGAGTTAGTCCACTAGTACAGTAGCCATTGCCTATCTTTCCTTTTCTTTCCTTTCATGAAAATGGTGGTTCAGAAATTACTGAAGCTTTTTTTCTCTCACCATTCACATGAGGACAAATCTTTAGTCAATAAAGTGTTAGTCCACTAGTACAGTAGCTACTGCCTATCTTTCCTTTCATGAAAATGGTGGTTCAGAAATTACTGAAGCTCTTTTCCTCTCACCATTCACATGAGGGCAAATCTTTTCTTTTACTGTGCAAAAATCTTTACATCTATGCACATACAGTAACTTAACCATTTAAAGTATGCATAGCTAACATATATTTGTGGTTTCTGAGGAAGTGTTGGTTTGCTTTCCACATATTCTAGACAGGATTACAGATGGGTCACTGAGGAATGAATGGTACTAGGTTCATAAGCCTAACTTTTCCAACTTATATGTAAGTGGCCTTTAAAACTGTGGATTTCAACTCTTTCTCAGCAGTGGTCTCACTGGCTGGAAAATTCTAAAAGTTGAAGTTCACATACCTGAAAGCTGCTTTAAAGAAATGGCTTTTAGTAATTCTTTATCTAAAGTTGGCTTGCTTTCTCCTTGTCATTATCCTTTCAATTCTGTTATTCTGTTATTAGCACTGGCCATTTGTTCACTTGGTGTTGACCCATCTACCAAACCACCAAGACAAATGGGAAATTTTCATTTTTGATTACTCTTTGCATACTAAGAGTAGACTGGTGAAGAGGCAGCAAGAACAAGAAGAAAGAGAAAGAGGTATGGCTGAGGAAGTGCAGGCATCAACAGATAGCTAACAGTTCTAACCATAGATAATTGCCTTGAAAATGAACATGCCTAAAAAGCAAGAGTTTAAGTTGCCTTAGATAGATACCAGCATCAAGCAGCATCAACTATTTTTTGATGGATTGATTGATTGATGTGATATACAATAATGCTGTTCATCCAACAGTGAGTCTGCACAGCTTAACATATAGTTAAAACATAAAACAAAAGTCCCATAGTAACTCATAAAGACTCCACAGCATAGCATAACTGAGGTGATTACAACATATTCCAATTCAAACCAGGCCAAACTCTGCCTCTTCATTTCAAACACCAAACAAGACTTTAGTCAAACTGCATCACAGCCTCGGGAACAATCCCAAATTTTCTCTGGATCCTCAAAGAGTCCATCCATCAGGCCCCTGAGGGGGACCAATTGAATAGATCCTTTCTCTCTGCAGGAAGGGTGGCTGCAGAAAAATCCAAGGTCAACAAACAGTGATCTGGCCATGGATAGTACTTATGGTCATTTCCCCCAACTCCACATCATGTTGCCACTGCCATAACACAAAAAACAAGTCTAACATGTGACTGTTGGTGTGTATTGTGATCCTGAATAATTTGAATTAGTTCAAAGTTGCCATAGCAGTCATAAACTACCATAGACCCCTAGTATGGAAAAGCAGATTAAAATCCCCTGGTACCATCAGTCTGAGGAACTTCACTGCCAACCCAGCCACTGCCTCAAACAGTTCAGATAAGGAAGCCAATACACAGCAAGGAGGTGGGTATAGTAGCAGCAATCATCTGCTGCTATTATACACCTGAAGGCAGGACAAGAAACTGATCAAATAGAGAAGCAACCTAGAACTAAGAAGAAATTTCCTGACAGTTAGAACAATTAATTAGTGGAACAACTTGCCTCCAGAAGTTGTGAATGCTCCAAAATTGGAAGTTTTTAAGAAGAGACTGGACAGCCATTTGTCTGAAATGGTATAGGGTTTTCTGCCCGAGCAAGGGGTTGGACTAGAAGACCACCAAGGTCCCTTCCAACTTTCTTTCTTTCTTTCTTTCTTTCTTTCTTTATTTATTTATTTATTTATTTATTTATTTTTATTATTGTTGTTGTTTGTTGTTGTTGTTGCTGTTATCTCTAATCCATAAAACCCAACCCCACCAGCAGGCTATTTGCAGAGAAGCATCTCTGAAAACCACCACGGTATGATGATTATAATCACTTTGTGCCTCCATGCTAAGTTCATGGCTGGTGCCATATATGAAACCCAAATGGACATATTTCCAAGAAATGTTTCCCCCTACACCTTCCCCAGACAAATTAATTATAAGCAGTTGACACCAGGAAATAGGCTGGACATTACCTTGCATTTGATTCCAAAATGGTATCTCGGAGTGCACAGGATCACAAACATAAAACTCTCTTTTTAAGGCAGAATCAATCACAGAGCATCAATCCTATGTTGCACTGCTCTGAAGCACTATTCTCAGATTATTTCTGAAGTGCTGCACACCTCTAATAAAAGTGTCAAGAAAAATCTAAATGAAAACTATTGCAGAAAGTTCCAAATTATGCATTTATACTTCAAGCCAAGATACTATGCTTACAAATCACAGGCATTTCCCAAAAGACTTAAATGAAAATAATTCACTGATTTCTCCACTCAGATGCACTACAGATGATATTCTCAGTTTTATTAAAAAAATGAACAAAATAACTGCTTCTTTTGAATGTATTCTTGATAATTCTAGTGAACTATATATGAAAAAAGTACACTATATAGCCAAGAAAAATATGATGTTATAATCTAAGAAGCAGAGTAAGTTTCACATCCATTCTATAATCAAGTTTTATTACAGATAGTCATCAGTTCATGATGGCAATTGGGACCAGAATTGCTGTTGCTAAACAATATGGTTGTAAAATACAATGTCACATAACTGTGCCATTTACTTCCTGCTTACCAACATTAAGCAAGGTCGTTAAGTGAAGACCTCACACAACTGCAACTTCTGACATCCTGCTGGCTTTTTGAATTTGCCAGTGGGAAGCCAGTAAGGAAGGTATTACAATCATGTGACTGAAGCTCACTGTGATGTCATAATCACAAGACAGGTGTCTAGTGTCATGATCACATGACCACAAGGACATTGTGATGGCTGGAACTCCAAGGACCAGTTGTAACTATTACTCATTCAGTGCTATCATAAGTTTGAATGGTTGTTGAATAAGCGGTTGTTAAATGAGGACCATCTGTATGATTTCAAACTTCACCAATAATACACCAACTTCAAACAAGAAACATCTCTGGCTGATATTTTTCATATTACATTTCCTAAAGTGTTGAATAAAAAAACTGAGAAGAATCATCTCAAAGTTGACTTTCCATTGATTGCTTCCATATCTGAAAATACACTTTCTCAGATCTGATTGGTCAAGAATGCTAACCACTTAGAACTGGTGTCCCTAACATATGATGGGCAACAATACTGTATGTCTACATACACATCTTAATGCCTACTATCAGGCTTTGCCCAGAGCAATATTACATCAAAAGGTTTATCAGCAGAGACCCACAGATATAGATCTTTTTAATTGCAGATACTAGAAAAAACATGAAGCTAAAAAAAATCAACAGTTGCAAACTGAACACTCAACATTGAATATAGAGCAGATTCAAGATTAAAACCATGCATCTCATTCTCCTGCATGTAGGTTATAATGGGCTGAGGGAATTCCTTTTTGGCAGAAGAAACAGATGACACCAGTAATGGATCAGTGTGATCTCATGCCCTCTGTCTACAATCCTATTTAATCCTACACCCACCAGGTTTCTTGTCCACCTTATTTTTAATTTTAGATTCATTTAATCAAAAACAAAACTAACAGAAAACAGGCATTCTCTAAGGCAGCGGTTCTCAACCTATGGGTCGCGACCCCATTTGGGGTCGATCGACCATTTCACGGGGGTCGCCAAGCAAGGCTGTCCGCCATTTTTTCCCCTTTTCCGGCGGGTGCCTTACCTCCCTTGAGCTGGGCCAGCTGGTGGTCGGCCTGCTCCGTCT